CTACCGTTCTTATCACACCCTTCCTTACCAGTTTGTTAATTGATGCTGTTGATCCTCATTAAAAAATCCCAGAGAATTTTCTTTGGCTTCCTACTCTTGTCTCTCCACCAAATTCCACTCTGTGATGTTTCCTTCTATGAGCATTTCACACCATGATAACCTTCCTCCTAAATAATTCCAATTAATTCTATGATTGGACTCTGTCTTTAGTGTTTCCCCATTTTGGTCCATTACAGGCACTATCTTCCTAATACACTTAATTTGCCTCATACACTTCCTTCATCACACCACTCTCTTGCAGAGCATCGCCAGTGCTCACAATATTGGGCTCATCTTTGTTCACCAGCATTCAAAGTCTTCCACAGTTTGTTCCCACCACCTTTCTGGATTGTTTCTGGATTCCACATAGAGCCTCTCAACTCCAGCCTAAGGGCCTTGGTTGCCATAGCCAGATCTCCATCACAGCCCTGCCTCTGCTGCTCTTGCCATTTGTAGAGCTCCCATTCATCTGTCTCCACCTATGGAAATTCTACCCCTCCTTTCAAGCTCAGCTCCTTTTTCGAGTTCTTAAGAAAGCCTTTCATGATCACCTGAGGGGAAGGGATCACTCCTTTTTACCAATTTTTATTGCATTTAAGTTCTGTGCCTTTCATTTATCACACATTTCCTTTCACTGTAGTAATATGTGGAAATGTCTTTTAAGTTCCATGAAAGATTATAATGTCCTGGAAGGCATAAATTTGCATAACATTTCTTTGTTTTTTTTCCTATTTCCTTCACAAAAAGTAAACTGTTTAGGAATTGACTTTAAACTCTGTGTGGATTTTAGACGAATTTAAACTAGGTGTGCACTTTTCTTTAGCAAGGTGGTGAAAACAAAAATAACAGGGAAGGTCAAAGAAAAATTCCTCTTTTTCTAAACCTGAAAGTGCTCAATGAACTAAGGTATAAGGTGAGGAGAAAAATATATTTGGAAACATGTTTAAGGATCATACTTTTCATAAGGAATTTTAGAGTCTGATACAAAATATTTTATGTTTTTCTGTGAAATATATTTCTGAAGTGATTTTGGACAGTTTGTCGCTTTTATATGTGATTCTCTTTTGTTGCTTATGCTCAGGGAAAATTTAGTCCATGTAAGAACAGGTCTATGACAGAGTAGGGGCTTGGATGCTCTTGGGAAAGCAGTATTCTCTCAGAATGAAGAGAAGCACCTTGCAAAACAAGCCAGAGTTCTAGGGGAAAAGTTGGCAGAGCTGGGGAACGGTCACTGAAACATCCATTGGCTTTTCACTTAACCCTTCCCAACCTTCCCTTGGTCAGTTTCTGATTAAGAATTTGTGGGCCAGGCGCGGTGGCTCAAGCCTATAATCCCAGCACTTTGGGAGGCCGAGGCGGGTGGATCACGAGGTCAAGAGATCGAGACCATCCTGGTCAACATGGTGAAACCCCGTCTCTATTATAAATACAAAAAATTAGCTGGGCATTGTGGCGCGTGCCTGTAATCCCAGCTACTCAGGAGGCTGAGGCAGGAGAATTGCCTGAACCCAGAAGGCAGAGGTTGCAGTGAGCCGAGATCATGCCATTGCACTCCAGCCTGGGTAACAAGAGCGAAACTCTGTATAAAAAAAAGAACTTGTGTAGGTCATGGTGGCTCACACCTATAATCCCAGCACTTTGGGAGGCCAAGGCGGTTGGTTCATGAGGTCAAGAGATGGAGACCATCTTGGCCAACATGGTGAAACTCCGTCTCTTCTAAAAATACAAAAATTAGCTGGCTGTGGTGTCATGCACCTGTGGTGGCGTGCACCTGTAGTCCCAGCTCCTCAGGAGGCTGAGGCAGCAGAATCACTTGAACCCAGGAGGCTGAAGTTGCCACGAGCTTAAATTGCATCACTGCACTCCAGCCTAGGGACAGAACAAGGCTCTGTCTTTAAAAAAAAAAAAAAAAGAACTTCCCCAAGGCTGGGTGCCTCAAGCCTTTAATCCTAGCACTTTGGGAGGTGGATCACTTGAGGTGAGGAGTTGAGACCAGCCTGACCAACATGGAGAAACCCTATCTCTACTGTAAGTACAAAAAAAAAAAATAGCCGGGCATGATGGCAGGCACCTGTAATCCCAACTAACTATTCCGGAGGCTGAAGCAGGAAAATCACTTGAACCCAGGAAGTGGAGGCTGCAGTGAACCGGGATTGCACCACTGCATTCCAGCCTGGGCCATACGATGAGACTCTGTCTCAAAATAAATGAAATAAAAACAATAACTTCCCCAAAATGTGGTCATTATCTGTGCATGAAAGTGGGTGGGCAGTGAGAGGGCAGGAAGTCCTTGTGAACTTCCACCCTGATTTGGAGCACCTGCTGACTGTGCCGCTTGTTATTCCAGGTGCTAGAGATATCGTACAGGCTAGACTCATTCCTTATGCTTAAGGAATGGGGAAGAGGAGATCAAAGCACACAGACAAAGTTTGTGCTGTGTTTCACAGTCTTTCGTTGAGCTTCAAAATAGGCCCAGGAATTCACTTTATGTCAATGACCTTGGATGTTCCACAAATTGTGCTAACTAATCTTGAGATGGATTACTGGATTCTCTGGTAGTGTGCAAAGACTGTAATCCTCCCCAAGGCTAGCACTTATTTTGGACACACCCAAGTGTATGCCGTCATCATTTTCTCAATTTCAATTCTTTATCTTGTTTCTCATTTCAGAACAAACTCAAAATAATTTAGGGAGAGTTTTGAGTTTGCTCTGAAATAGAGAAACAGTTTGCTCTGAATTAGTTTTATTTGATCAAACTAATCAAGGAAAATTATTATAATTTTTTTTGTTGGTTAAAGAAATAACCGAAGTTGGATCTTCTTGAGACAGCAGCTTTGTTTGTATCAGGTTATCTGTTGTTAGAACCTTAGTCTCCATTGCTATCCAAGATCCTCCCCCACACAGCTGTTTCTGGCACACCTGGCAGTGGCTGGGCTGCTTGCTAACCTAAACAGCAGCTGCAGGATTAATAGACAACATTTGTTACCACTCTAAATAACCAAACCACTTTTGTGCAGCATCAGTTGCTCCTAATCATTTTTATCCCAAACCCAAACATCGAGGGAAACAAAATAACACTATAACAGAATTAATAGAATTTTTTTTTTCTTTTGAGATGGAGTCTCACTCTGTCACTCAGGCTGAGCACAGTGGTGCCATCTCGGTTCACTGCAACCTCCGCCTCCCGGGTTCAAGCAGTTCTCCTACCTCAGCCTCCCATGTAGCTGGGATTACAGGCACATGCCACCATGCCTAGCTAATTTTTGTATTTTAATAGAGATGGGGTTTCAACCATGTTGGCCAGGCTGGGCTCAAACTCCTGACCTCAAGTGATCCACCCGTCTTGGCCTCCCAAAGTGCTGAGATCACAGGTGTGAGTCACCATGCCTGGCCTTAGAATATCTTACTCCAGTATTTTTCATCTGAGTCAACAGTAACCGAAAATAAAAAAAAAATAGATCTTACATCATAGCCCATAATACACACAAATATAAAAAAGTTTCATATGGCCATGCTTAACTGTAAGACAGAGTTTCTCTGTTGACGTTTTGGTCTGGAATATTTTTTGCTGCACCAAGAGGAGGTTCATCCTGTATAGTGTAGGGTGTGTAACAGAATCCCTGACTTCTACTCACTAGCTGCCAGCCTCCATCACCCTACCTTGTTACCGCAAACATATCTCCAGACATTGCCACATGTTCCCTGCTTGAGAAGCACTGCTCTAGTGTGGGTGATGCATTCTGCTGATTTTGATCCTCTTCTGTTTCATTTTTTAAAATGCTATTTGTGACCTAGTAAATTGTTTCACAACCTGCTAATGAGCTGTGAACAAATGCAGACAAACAGGGCCTTGACACATATTAACACTGACCAACAGTAATGTGCATTAGCTGTGTGCCATGCAGAGCACTTTCGAGGATATAAAAAGTATTTGGTATCTCGAGATTCCAGTGAGTTATGAGACAAGGAAAGGACATTGTGTTGAAGAAACTTGAATTTCATGTTATAAACATGTTGGCTTGAGCTCCTGTTGCTACTCACTAGCTATCTGACTTGGGGCAATTCTTGGGGCAGAATACGGACAGTGGCTTTCCTACTTTTCTTAAGTGATGGGTATGAGACTTAGAGACTGTAAATAGAAAGGCTTAAGGAAAGTTAGATACTGTAAAGAGAAAGGCTTAATGAAGTACCTTCTGACAGCTAAATAAAGGTTGATAAAGGTTGTTATATGGAAGATTAACTCTATGAGAATTAAGAATTTTTGCAAAAGATTATTGCATAGCCACATCTGCTCAGCAAGAAAGCAAGAGGTGGCTAAGGGCACTGGGACTTTTTTTTCTTTGAAGAGTTCTAATGGCCATATTGCTGTGTACTGAGTTCTTACTGGGATACCAACACTGTTCTTTTTATTTATTTATTTTATTTTACTTTAAGTTCTGGGGTACATGTGCAGATCTTGCAGGATTTTTACATAGGTATACACATGCCATGGAGGTTTGCTGCCTCCATCCCCCCGTCACTTACATTAGGTATTTCTCCTAATATTATCCCTCCCCAATCTCTCCACCCCCTTCTATCCCTCCCCTAGCCCCCCACTCCCTAACAAACCCCAGTGTGTGATGGTCCGCTCCCTGTGTCCACGTGTTCTCATTGTTCAACACCCATTTATGAACGAGAACATGCAGTGTTTGGGTTTCCTTTCTTGTGTCAGTTTGCTGAGAATGATGATTTCCAGATTCATCCATGTCCCTGCAAAGGACATGAACTCACCATTTTATGGCTGCATAGTATTCCATGGTATATATGAAGGCACTGGGATTCTTGAGGAATGCCTCTGAAGGGGAAATGGGGGCATTGGCCTGAAATCTCCTTCGTTCAAGTTCTGACAATGCAGAGGGGTGCTGCTGATCCTAATATATCTCATATTTCCTAACTCTCATTAGCATTTACTAACATTCCAGATGTAAACAGTACCTCGGAACGACCCTCCAAGGATGAAATGGCCGACAGACCATGGCTCCTGTATAGGTTACTTCCTTTGGGGGCATTGCCTCTACTCATCATTACCTGTTGTTTCCTCTTCTGCCTGAGAAGGCACCAAGGTGGGTTCTATTGTCCTTCTGCCCCCTGTACCACACATTTGGGGCTATTCTTATTTCTGGGGCTAATAGATTTTAGTTTCTTCCTGTTATTTTCTTTCCCAATCCTGTGGTAAACCACCGATAGTGATTTTCTGGGAGACAACTCATACTTGTGCTGAAAAAGCAAATGGGTTTTAGTTGGGGCTCCCTTGAGTCATGAGAGAGGCATGCTTACCACAGCACACACAGTGTTCCAGCCAGCTTGTGGTGAGCACAGCACATTGCTGAGGCTTCGCCATTCTTTCTGCATGAATCTCAGGTTTGTGTGAGAAAGAGCTCTTCTAAGCTTAACAGGACTGAACGTTGAAACAATGTCTCAGGTCAAGATACCTGATTAGAGTTATTTTGTACTGACCTCTCCTCTCAGCCACACCACATCATGCCATTGCCTAACTGAAGAACCAACATCCCCAGAGAAAATTAATACTTGTGTACTTCCTGTTGCCGTAACAAACATATGCTTGACCTGAATCCTTACCCAACAATAATGCATTTGAAAAATGTGGGTTTGGCTATGATGGGAGAGGTGTGATATTTTGAAAATAATTCCTTTCTACTTTTGTAAGAACTCCCTCAATGTCGTGACCAAACAGGTTAAGAGAGAAAAGCATGGAGAAGTCTGATCTAGCTTTGGCCTGAACCACACCAGTTTTCTCTTTCCTTTTTCTTCTCCTCTATCCTCTCCCATTCCTGTTTTCACAACATCAGTTACAGTGTAGCTATAGAAACTGAGATACATGGAGCAACCCTTATTCAGGGTGCCACAGGAGTCACCTTTCACTCGGCAAAAGTGCTTCTGGTATTGTGAAGTGAGAATTTCTGGAGTCCACAGCCTTCTCTGGATTCGGAAGAATTCTCTCTTACCCCAATTCTTCATCTGCAACCCCATGGCTCTTTCTATGGCCTTTCTGTATCTTTCATCATCTTTCTTGAGACTTTTGGAACCTCTCTCAGAACTTCAGGAAAGGAGTCAGAGATAAATCTTCTGATTTACCACATCCAAAGTGAACTAGATAGTAAGAGATCTTGGCTGCATAGGTGACAGGACAGCAGCATTTCTGTCATGGAGTATGGAATATCCCCAAAGCAAGGACTTCCAGTCTTTTCCAAGTAATATATAGGTCCTTTCCCTTCCTCTTCCATATGTCATGAGGCTATGTGGACTGAAAAGTGATGAACGAGAGAGAGCTGGTCAGTGTGAATTCTCACAAACAAGTGTGTGTGGCATGCTAGGCAAAGCAAATCATCAAGTAAAAACTAGTAACAATCCTATCCCAGGCATTCAACAGGGTAAGCATGGATGGCACGGTGGTTTACTTCTGTTTTCTTTACTCCTTTTGATTACTTATTTTTCCTTTTGTCTTCCAGGAAAGCAAAATGAACTTTCTGACACAGCAGGAAAGGAAATTATCCTGGTATGCTTGATGTATCTGTTGAAACAAATGAAATTTGTGTTATACTGTGTTTATTTTTTCAATGAATTTATATAACGCTTACCATGTGCCAGGCATTATTCTAGGTATTCTCTTTCTCTCTCTCTCTCTCTCTCTCTCTCTCTCTCTCTCTCTCTCTCTCTCTCTCTCTCTCTCTCTCTCTCTCTCTCTCTCTCTCTCTCTCTCTCTCTCTCTCTCTCTCTATATATATATATATATATATATATATATATATATATATATACACACACACACATGCCTAGACTCATTTTTTAAAATGTGAATTTTACATTCAGCTCTCTCTGCGGCAAAAACTCTTTAGGGTTAACAAGTCTCATAATAAGTGGTTCTTTGGAAGTTCATGGAAGGCAGTATAGATCTGAGACAGAAAAGTCAGAGACTGAGCCATGCAGACTTGACTCTGCTCTTGCCTATTATATGGCTTCAGGCTAGTCATTTATTTTTATGAAAACACCTTAAAGTCTCTCTGGAAGAGAGTAGGGAGCTAATGAAAGAATGAATCCATAAACAGCCTCATAAAATATTAGATATCTTCATATATAGCACCAGCAAAGTAGAAACATGATCTTTGGCTTAGTTATTGCACAGAGGTCCCTGGCAACGTGTGTAGGCTCATCAGGGATGGGACCACCCAGACTAAAGGAAGGGAATTTTGGAGACAATCTTTCCTACAAGGTTTGGAATATAAATGTAGGCTTTTATTTTGAGTTGAATGTTATGGAGATATTAGAACTAGAAAAGAATGCGAGATGAGGCGATATATTTGTGGGAAAAAATTCTGAAGCTCTCGAATTAAAACTGGTTATTAGAGATACTGCAAAGGAACTTGAAATGTGCGTGTGCGTGTTCCTGTAAGGAAGAATAGTGATAGAGGTAGTAATCCTCTTAAAAATTCCACAAAATACAAAGTCGATAAAGCCAATAATTCTGTATATAACATTAAATGGCATTCAACATTCCCCACCAAGCGGCTTAATTTTAAACCAAACCAAATACATTCAACTTGATAAACTTCTATGAAGTTTTAGTGAACGTCCATAGGCACTGTGTTGGGTGCTAAGGCTTTGTTCCCTCAGCTAGGGAAATTTTCTTAAATATTATTTTCTTATTTCTTTTGAGATGGAGTCTCACTCCATCACCCAGGCTGGAGTGCAATGGAGTGATCTCGGCTCACTGCAGCCTCTGCCTCCGAAGTTCAAGCAATTCTCCTGCCTCAGTCTCCCCAGTAGCAGGGATTACAGGCACCCACCACCATGGCCAGCTAATTTTTGTATTTTTTTAGTAGAGATTGGGTTTCACCATGTTGGCCAGGCTGGTCTTGAACTTCGAACCTCAAGTGATCTACCCTTCTTGGCTTTTCAAAGTGCTGGGATTATAGGCGTGAGCCACTATGCCTAGCCAAAATTACTTTCTTTCTCTAGTAAATAATAATGATAATTTCATTTAATTACAATAAGGCCTGAAAGCTATGAAACTATTTAAGACAAATCTAAATAATTTACTGTGGAAGTAAAATCCAGTTTGGTTAAGCTGTGGTCATTTTTTCTTCCTGGGTAGGCTGGACAAATTATGATTTGAAGCTTAATTCAAAAGAGTTTGTTTCTGTGTGTGCAATAGTTTGGGAAGTTTGTTTCAAGGTATTCTTGCTATTCACAGAAATTTAAAGATTTTTGCTCCATTTCAGATGTTTAGCATTTCAGAAAAAAAAAAAGGATACCGTATTTGATCCTTGGGGCTAAATATTTCTTAACATAAAACTAGTAGGGGAACTGCGGAGAAATCAAAATACAGAAAGGAACTGGTAAAAACATGACAGCTACGTCTAAAAGCCAAAGCTCTGATCTTAATCCAGGATGATCCTTTGAGGGCATAAAGTGCTTGCCTAATAAAACCACTTTAAAGAGTATTGTACACCTCAAAGAGTGAATTTTATGGCATGTGAATGATATCTAAACATATACTTTAAATACCTATTTTAAAGTGCTTTGTATACTGGTAACCTTCCTTAGGAATGTAATGGGATTGCTGTTTCTGGCTTTATCATTTCTATCCACCATACTGTCGTGGATTGGCCTTGTGGCAGTCAGCCACTTTGCTGGGTGCCACAGCAGGGGTGCTACAGAGCACTATATTTTCTTTCGCTCTATTCATTTTAACAAAATTTTTCATGGAAATGAGCCATTTCTTGGGATGAGAGACAGGTAGACAGGTAGCTGAACTGACAGGCTTAAACAGATTGAAAAGTATCACAGGAACCGTGTTGATATATTGAGGACTAAAGACTATTTTTCAGTTCACGTGACAGTCTTCTTTAGTGTGCCACCTACTGACTTCAGCCAGGCCTCTTTCAGTGGAGTTGGGAGAACTTTCCATCTTAGCCAAACAACCTCTGCCCCTTTAGTCGCTCAGCCTTACTGTTATTTCTGGGCAGCCACCTCATCAGAGGGAGGCACTGTGTCAGGAATTATTACTTAGCTTCTCAGGGTAAAGCCAGACATGCTTACATGATAGAACTCTGCCAAGGAAATGCCATAGGCATCCTACTGCACACATCACAGTGAGGGTGACAAAGGACCAGATAAAGTATGTAGACTTTCAAAGACTGTGGACCTCATACCTTAAAAAAGTTAGGCCAGACTTCGAGAGCATAAATTGATGGGCAAAACTGGAATTTAAAAAACTGAAATAACGGTCAGGCACAGTGACTCATGCCTGTAATCCCAGCACTTTGGGAGGCTGTGATGGGCAAATCACCTGAGGTCAGGAGTTTGAGACCAGCCTGGCCAACATGGAGAAACCCCATCTCTTTAAAATAATTAATTAATTAATTTAAAAAAACAAACAAACAGAAAAACTGAAATAGCCCCTAGAATGAACACATCTGCTTTGTCAGGTGAGCCTTTGTATAAGCAGGAATGGCTAATAAATAGCTGAAGAGTGAGAAAACAACAGGACTCATTTTACTTTTTGTTTCTACACATTACCTCTTTCTCAGAAGCTCTAAGATATTTGGCTATATTTGAAACTGCAAGAATTTTCTTGTGATAGAAATAACAACTGGAATATTGTTTTAGAACTTTTCCTAAGCTTTATCTTTCCAAAACTGACATCAATTTTTTAAATCGAGGTCTCAAATTCTAATGATATACCATGGCTAACTCATAATATTTATTCTTTCTGTCCCCTTAGGAGATATCTGTTCTGCTTTATCCTTAATCTTTTTATTCTAAACTGCATTAAGTGCTATTCATTGTGTTATAAACTGCCTGAAGTTTTCATAGGATGTTTTTTGCTTTCTCCATTAATTTGGGCTATGCTTTTCATCTTGAAGGGGGATTTAAAAATGTTCTGTGACCTCAAAGTGACCAGTAATAAAGCACAAAATAACTATTGGGGGGTACATAGTGATTCTCAAGCCTTTCATCCTTCAACAGTTGAGATTTAGCAGAAAACGTAGATGTCAGCAGCATGTGTGAGGAACAGTAGATTATTTCTCACAATGGACATGACTCCATTAAAGCCTCTCGTTTGTAGTTTGCTAATGAATATGCCCTACCATGGCCCAAAGTGTCACTTAAAACCATCTTTTTTCCATTATAGGTTGATGTTCCCTTTAGAAGTGAGAAAACAGAAGCAAGCACCAGGCAAAATTCCCAAGTATTGCTATCGGAAAGCGGAATTTATGATAATGACCCTGACCTTTGTTTCAGGATGCAGGAAGGGTCTGAAGTTTATTCTAATTCATGCCTGGAAGAAAACAAACCGTGCATTGTTTATGCTTCCCTGAACCATTCCGTCATTGGAGTGAACTCAAGACACGCAAGACCTGCGAAAGAAGCACCAACAGAATATGCATCCATATGTGTGAGGAGCTAAGTCTATTTCTGACTCCAACAGGGGGCATTGAATGACCTGCGTGTCAACATCATTGTCTGGGCCCAACAGGCTGCCAAATAATATTTCTCACTTTGAGAATTTTTACTTTAAAAATGTTCATGTTAGTGCTTGGGTCTTAAGGGCAATAGGACAAATGATTAAAATTTCTCCCAGAAACTTATTTGGGAGCTTTTTATATTATAACCTTGAACAAGAAAATCTCTCCAAAACTGATTGATATCATGAGTAGCAGAATAGTAGAACATTTAAACTTAGCTCCAATTCACCCAATATACAAACTCAATCTTGCTTTTGAAGCTATTGGAAAGACTTGTAGGGAAAAGAGGTTTGTGTTATCTGGATCAGTTTACTACACACTCTTGAAAACAAAATGTCCCAATTTGACTAACCAACCATAAATACAGTAATGATTTTATATTTCAAGTCAATCTTTCATGATAAGAAATGTTTCCTCTGTCAATCTAAGAATGGTGTTTCTTAAATGCAAAGGAGAAATCATTTTAGACTTGATGTAAGAAAATGAAAGGAATAAATGGTGCAATAAAAATATAGAATATACCAACTAGATGCAGAATAGATGTTCCCCGTACCTGGCAAGCAAATGCTTGTATCTACTCCGTGAGATTGATAGACAAATATGAGTATTAGTGGAGCAGTCAACGTATAGTACATTGATGAATAAAGTAGTGACTCACTGTTTGGGTCACATAGACTGATGGATAAGAATGTGACATAATGCTGCTGAATTGATAGACTTGTGGGCATCCGAATAGCTTAGAAGTTAGTCAGAATAGGTATTATTGGGCAAGTGAAGACTGATAGCTTAAACTGCTTCATGCTTGACTTGATAGCAAGTTAAAGTGCAATTAATGGAATGGAGGAAAACCCAGAATATTTAATTGGTCAGCTGGGGTCAATACGCTCTCATTCACCACATCTGCTTCTTGCTGTTATTCTTACTAAGGAATCAGGGCAAATTATCTGTAGTGACATATTTTAGTTTGCTAATCATTTATTTTAAAATACTGAGGTTGCAGCCACTTAAGAGCACAGCAAAAGATGGATTCCAATATTTGGAATTTCCAAAGTACTTGAGTTAAATTATTTCAAAAATAGCCTATAACTTTATTCAACAGTTTGAGGCGGTTAGAATTCTCAGGTGCTGCTACTGAATAATGTAATAGTCTTTATACAAAGTGGGTAGCAAAAGTTAAAATCCACTTGAACAAATATGTGAGCTGAGCTGCTGCACAAATGAATGTGATCTCTGTGTGTGTGTGTTTGTGTGTGTGTGTGTGCGTGCCTGTGTGTGTGGTGTATATTTTAGGTGGGGTGGGTGACAACAGAAATGGTGCATGATCAAGTTGATAGTACATTTTCAGTTTCCTTTTGAAGCTCAAAATACTAGATTAAATGTGTCATTAAAGAAAATAATGTGTGAAATTATGGAGTGGAGAGTGTAAGTGGGGTAAACATATAGGAAGACAAAACCGGGGTTTTGTGGTGGAGAGAGTTTCTTATATAACACTGGCATTACGTTTTAGCTCCTTAGATCTGGGAGTGCAGATACTCTTTTGAGTCACTGTTATTTAGCCAATGACACCTAGAATTTTAAGCAACCACTTCTAGATAGGCTCTTTTAGGCAGGCTGCACTTGTGGACGACTTATGTAAGAAAGACATATTAGAATAGCTGCTTGTGGTATTCTTAAAAATAGAAACAGGAAATATGGGGAGGATACATTTAGCTGTCCTCTTATCAGATGAACACACAAAGCTGAACAGTTCCTTTCATGATTCTCTCAAACTTAAAAGCAAAATATTTCTGTCTTATTTAGAATATTCTTAGTATGTCTTACAGTAAAGATAATGCTGATAATGATTTCATCTCTGTGATTTATTAACATATTTGTACTGTTTGCCAAAATCACACATCATTCATGTGTTTATTCCTTTTCAAAATGGTGTCAGAGATATGTATGCATTTTCCCAAATGAATCTATTTCACTATTATTTACATGGCTTATTTCCTTAATTTATAATGGTTTGAGCAACAGAATATGTAGATAATTTAATGGTTTTTCACAAATTTTAGGCTTGTTGATTGTTCTCAATAAGAAGGTAAAGTTATTAAAACTGATTTGGAATCAATTTGGCACCTGCTTCTGTGCCCCAAAATGTGTGGCTATGAGTAGAAGACTGGCTGGCATGGAAAAGCGACCTGACCAACTTCCTCAACTGCAGAGCACTAACTTGCAGCACCAAGAAATTCTGACTCAGGAGGTCTAGAAAACGGCTCTTTAATCTTCACCTTTCAAAGACATGCCTGCCGATTGTAATATGTTTCCCAGTGTCCGCTATTTGAGAAACCTAGTAGACGTTAGGTTTGGTATATGTGGTTTATTTGATCAGTTTTGTGCACCAACCAAAACTATCTAGTTCCCAGAATGAATTCTCTGGTGTGATCATATCTATTTTGTTAAATACGCAAACCTTTTTCAGAGCACTTTCAGGTTTAGCAAAGCTGAGTGGAAAGTATCAAGTTTCTATACCCTCTCCCCCACCCCACATGCACAGCTTCTCCCATCATCAACATCCTGCATTTCAGTAGTGTATTTGTTACAATCAATAACTAGAATTGACACATCTTTATCAACCAAAGTTCATGGGTTACATGAGGGTTCATACTTGGTGTTGCAGTTCTTTGGGTTTTGACATGTATAATGACATGTATCCACCCATTATAGTGATTTACAGAATAGTTTCACTGCCCCAAAAACCCTCTGTGCTCTACTCTTTTATCTCTCCCTACCAACCCCTGACAACCACTGCCTCTATTGCTTTGCCTTTTCCAGAGTGTCATATAGTTGGAGTCATGCTCCAAGTAGCCCTTTCAGATTTGCTTCCTTCACTTAGTGATATGCACTTAAGTTTCCTCCATCTCTTATCATGACTTGGTAGTTCATTTATTTTAAATGGTGAATAATATTCCATTGTCTGAATGTATAACAGTTTATCTGTTCATCTGCTGAAGGACATTTTTGTGGCTTCCAGGTTTTGACAATTATGAATAAAATTGCCCTAAACATTTGTGTGCAGGGTTTTAAAAACATTTCAATTTGAAATTCGGGGGTACATGGGCAGTTCTGTTATACAGGTAACTAGTGTCATGGAGGGTTTGTTGTACAGATTATTTTATCACCCAAGTATTAAGCCTATTAGTACCCATTAGTTATTTTATCTGAACTTCTTCCTCCTCCCACCCTCTACCCTCCAGTTGGCCTTAGTTTCTGTTGCTCTCCTGTGTGTTTCCATGTGTTCTTATCATTTAGCTCCCACTTATAAGTGGGAACATGCAATATCTAGTTTTCTGATCGTGCGTCGCTTCTAGCTCCATCCATGTTCCTGCAAAGGACATGATCTTGTTCTTTTTTATGGCTGCATAGTATTTCATACGTACCGCATTTTCTTTATTCCGTCTTCCATTGGTGGAAGAATAGAATAGAGTTCATGTTTTTCTATTGTGAGTAGTTCTGCAGTGAGCATATGTATGTATGTGTACTTATAGAAGAACAATTTATATTCCTTTGAATATATATATCCAGTAATGGGATTGCTGGGTCAAATGGTAGTTCTGTTTTTAGCTCTTTGAGAATTTGCCACACTGCTTTCCACAATGATTAAACTAATTTACACTCCCACCAACAGTGTATAAGCATCCCTCTTCTTCGCAGCCTTTCCAGTGTCTGTTACTTTTTGACTTTTTAATAATAGCCATCCTGACTGGTGTGAGACAGCATTGCTGTGGTTATGATTTACATTTCAATTTTTAAATCCTTTGAGTAAATACCAAGGAGGATGATAGCTGGATTGTATGGTAAGAGTATGGTGTGTTTGGTAAGAAATTGTCAAATTTTCTTCCAAAGTACCTGTACCATTTTGCATTTTCACCAGCAATAAATGAGACTTTTTGTTATTTCACATCCTAGCCAGAATTTAGTGATGTCAATGTTGTGGAATTTTCCCATTCTAACAGGTGCATAGTGGTATCTCATTTTTTTAATTTGGAATTCCCTAATGACATACTGTTTTGTATCATTTCATATAGTTATTTGTAACCCATGTATTCTGTTTGGTGAGGTGTCTGTTCAGATCTGCTCGTTGTCTAATTGGGTTGTTCATTTTCTTGTTGAATTTTAAGAGCTCTCTGTATAGTTTTGATAACAATCCTTTATCAAATATGTCTTTTTTAGATTACATGTAGTCTTTTTTTTCTTTCTTAAATTTTAGATTCAAGGGATACATGTGCATGTTTGTTACATGGGTATTAGCCCAACATGCTAAATAAGTATCTACATTTTAACAAGATCTTCAGGGAATCAGTACGCGCTTTGATGTTTGTGAATCTTGTGTTCCACTTAACCTTATGAACCCATCTTTCTCCACCCAAAGTCAGGTGTGGTAGGACTCCAAGTCACATTTATAGGACACACTAATTTAGAAAGTTCTTTTTTAGGCAGAAACAAGAAAGGCCAGAAAGAGTAAAAATGACACATGAGAGAGCATAGTGCTATTTTATAGAAGTTTTGCTAAACTCGAGAACATGAGAACTGAATGTCTTATCCTAGTAATCAACTAGCAGTTTCAAAAATAAATTCTGAGGGTTAGTCTTTAAAATTAGGCCCCCAAAATAAGAATAAAAATGAAAAATATAAAATCAGGCCCTTATTTTTAAGTTGGTCAGGGTAAACATGCCATGGCAATTGTTTATCTGTGCACAATTTATAACCACCTATTAGCACCTACCGGTTTGCTAGATTCTGAGGTGATATGGTTGAGAAAGAGTTCATTCCTGCCTGACACTGCTTGTGGTATAGATGAAGAAGCAGAAGGTAAACAAAAAATTAAAATCCCATTATTGTGGAGACAGGTGCAAAATATTGTGAAAACACCATCAAATTTTAACTTTCCTGAGTATCAGAACTATGTGTTGTTCACTGGAGTAGTGTTCATGTTCCTGAGACTGAGAGTTTTTGAGGGAACCCTAAATAATCACATCCCTCTGGCTCTACAGATTCTCATCCAATTGACAAATAGAGGAGTCAGATTGGGGTTAATATCAATAGTATAGATGGATTGACAAGCACAGCTTGGGCCCAAAACTAAAATGTGTTTCCTACCCATTCCTCCACCCAATCTTGCTTGACTTGGGGACCCCTTTATAGGAGATTTAGGTCTACAGAAAGATACTTACCCAGTCATGTGGGGAATGTCAGCCTGCTTCAAGTTTCCTTGATTGCAGATGAGAATCAGAAACATAACTACAACCTCCTTGCCTTTGATGCAAGAAGTTCTTTCAGAGGTTAATGTGGTAAAAAGGGTGAGAAGTTCTGCCCATCGCACCAGTATGTTAAATCAATCCTCTTCCTATAAGGAGAAGACTGCAAGAGGGCAGATCAGAGGAGGACCCTATATCATAGCTAAGGTGAGCATGAGGAAAGCCAAACAATGACTTTTTCCTAGTTCGGGAAAAAGGTAAGTAATCACTGAATGTTAAATTACTGAACTGAATGAATTAAAAACAAGAAGCAACTACTTCTTTCACGGAAGTCAAATAATGTCATTTGTGTCTTCTCTTAGAGTGAGAAAAAGAGAAGGAGAGAGTTTTAATTGCAGAAAAGAGCCATTCAAAACAGCATGGCACGTTCTGAGATTGGCCAGGCACCCAGTGGCTGTAGATTAGGTTACAGGGAGGGAATTACAAAATGTAAGACCAATTTTAGTTGTAATTGACACTTAAATAGAATGTAGGTAGCCAAAGTTCTTTCCTGTACATTATACAAAACACTGTGAAAGATCTATTGGCAACAATTTTCTCTTTAAGCTGCTTGGCTGTCACAGATGTGCATAATTGATGTGCTATTAGTCATAAAATTTATTTTTATTTAAACAATGTTATTACAGCTTATCCAAATCTTAAAAAAGGTTTAATAATTGATAAATGATTTTAGCTGGGGTTAAATACAAGGAAGAACAGTACTGAGTAGAATTTTAGCAAATCCTATGAGGTCATAACCACATAGAGGTTAGAAACCTCAAACTTTCTTATTTGCCATTCACAATCTTCCTTAAAATAATTAAAAATATTAGCTCCAAACTTGGTAATGACAGATTGTATTGTTCTTTAAACTTTTGGAAATGTGTCTTTGCTTTGAATAATATGCTATAATGTGAATGGAAAACATATGATCCCTATGTTTATTTGAATAACATTGGTGTTTATTATGCATCTTTTCAAAAAAAAGTTAAAAGTGAAAAACAAGTAGTAGTTTTGCCAATCTCTTCCAAGGAAGTATTCCAACTAACAGTGGAGCTAGCCCAGAGGTTGACTAACTGCTATGTGAAATTGAGACCTATGCTTTAGGGCTTTCTCTGGCTCATAATCGTATATTATTAAGCACTCCACAATATTTTACCTCATAATTCTTGATGATCCCTTGACAATAATAAAATGTTTATAATAATTGACATCTGCCATTTATTTATTGCTTGTCTATGTGACAAACACTGCTCTATGTCGGAAACATACAACTTGTTTAATTCTCACAATCACCTTATGAAGGAAGTGGTTATCATTCTCATTCTATTGATCAGGAAAATGAGGCATACAGTCATCAAGTAACTTGTCCAAGTTCTCATCTCTAACGAGTGATAGAAACTAAATCCCATCCTAGTAATCTGATTCCAGAACCTATGTTCTTACCACAGCACCAACTTGAGAAGCAATGGAGAAGAATTTGGGATTGTTTTAGACTCTGTAGTATGCAAACAAAAGCCTTGGATTTGTGCTGAAACCATCTCAAGATTGTTTGATTAAGCCCTGCTTAAGAGTGGTGATACTTGCAATTGCCCAGTTATCAGTGTTGGGCCATCAGTAAAAGGAAGGAATTGAACTAGGCAAAGATCTGGCACTACATTGGAGAGGATAATACTCATGCTGATAGCAAGGGCGGAAGTACAAGCAATAGGTGCCAATGGGTCATGTCTGGTTAGAATATGATAATCTACAGAATTCTACAGATTCCAGGTACTATGGTCCTATTCCATGTGGACTGATAAGAGGACGAATCTTCTTTAAGATTTGGCCTCAGAGTGATTTTGGATTTTTAGGTGCCAGCCCTAATGGCCACAGATTTTCTGATGATTAGTAAGCATTCCTTCTTTTGACTTAATTATTGTCTCCTGTTCATGTGAATTTATTGCTCCCATTCAAACCAAGTACTTACCAATAAGTGGTATAAGAAACTGGCATAGAGCCCAACAGCATGAAAGAAGCTGGATTCAGAGCCAATTGCATTTTAATGCAGGAATCTCTAACATAATTCCCATTTAGACCTGGTCCTAGACTGAGGTGGGCTTAAATCCTCAGATAAAAACAAGTATCCAGATATGTCTGGAGAAGAGAATTGAAGAATTAGAGAATCTACAGATTCCTAACAGTGATGGGAGAATGTATGGAGCTTAGACAGACCTGACCTTTCTCACCACAGCTCCTTGCCCCTGGAGAAGCATCGATATGTTGGAAAAACAAAGGAGAGACAGTGACAAAATCAAAGAGAGAAGAAGCTCAAGGGCTTAGGAATAAAATTGTTGAACCAAAATTGCAGTTAAGGGTAAGTTTTGTCATCTGTAAGCTAAAAATGCACCTAGTGATCTTGGGAAAACCAGAGAGTATCCCATTTGTTATAACCCACATATCACACAAAATGTTCTAGTTTTAAACTCTTTTCACTGATGATGCTTAAAAATATTGTGACCTTGTGGTATACATGATTCCACAAGAACCCAGAACAACTTTCAAGTTCACACAATCTGTTTTTTATTAAAAAAAAAAACAACACTGCCTGTTCTGCATTGTATCTTGACTATCTTAAAGCATCTCAGAAATCTCAAAAAATGGTACTATTAGTAGCTATAACATACTTATCCACATAGTCACACACACATCTACATACAGACATAAAGATTTATACACACACACACACACACACACACACAGTTCAAATAATGAAAACTAAAAATTTTAGAATTGCTTCCTCTTAGAGGGAGGAGAGTAGTGTGGAATAATTAAGAATGGAAATGAGACGAGAGAATGTACTTTGGTATAGAGTTTGACTTAGAGATAAGGAAAATTATTTGCATGATTAAATAATAATACTTCATAAATAAAAAGCAATTCCTCAAATTGAAAACAAACTGAAACAAACTTAACTGTGTATTAGATTGATGGCATACCACATAGTATAATTATGTCAAATGACTTCAGTAATTTGACTCTACAACCTTGCAGGTATATATTACAATAATTAAAAAAAATATATATTTAATTTTAACTTTGTGCTTGTCATAGTAATATTGATATTATTATTTTATTTTATTTTATTTTTTGTTTGTTTCTTTGTTTCTTTGAGACAGGGTCTTACTCTGTTGTCCAAGCTGGGGTATAGTGGCATGATGAGAGCTCATTGCAGCCTTCAACTCCTGGTCTCAAGTGATCCTTAGACCTCAGCCTCCTAAAGTGCTGGCATTACAGGAAGGAGCCACCATGCCTGGTGATATTATTATTTTGAAAATAATATGTGGAAAATATAGTATACAGCAAGTATGCATGTTAATATATTTAGAAATATAGTTTTCTTATATAACAAAAATTAGCAGAAGTATGGAATTAAAGATTTTAATTAAGAGCCCTGAAATTCAAGTTTTGAATTGGAAGTATATACATAAATTCCTAATTTTATTTATTAAAAATCATTTATACCAATAACAAGGTCAGAAGTCAAGGCAGCAATTAAGAGCCTACCACACAAAAAAAGCCCAAGTCCAGACGGGTTCATAGCCGAATTCTACCAGACACACAAAGAGGAGCTGGTACCATTCCTTCTAAAACTATTCCAAATAATCCAAAAAGAGGGAATCCTTCCCAAATCATTTTATGAGACCAACATCATCCTGATACCAAAACCCAGCAGAGACCCAACAAGAAAAGAATACTTCCGGCCAATATCCATGATGAACATAGATGCAAAAATCTTCAATAAAATATTGGCAAGCCGATTGCAACAGCAAATCAAAAAACTTATTCATCATGATCAAGTAGGATTCATCCCGGGGATGCAAGGCTGGTTCAACATACACAAGTCTATAAACATAATTCACCACATAAACAGAACCAAAAACAAAAACCACATGATTATCTCAATTGATGCAGAGAAGGCATTTGACAAAATACAACAGCCCTTTATGCTAAAAACCCTCAATAAACTCGGTATCGATGGAACGTATCTCAAAGTAATAAAAGCTATTTATAACAAACCAACAGCCAATATCATACTGAATGGGCAAAAACTAGAAGCATTCCCTTTGAAATCCGGCACTAGACAAGGATGCCCTCTGTCACCACTCCTATTCAATATAGTACTGGAAGTTCTAGCCAGAGCAATCAGGCAAGAAAAAGAAATAAAGGGTATTCAAATAGGAAAGGTGGAAGCCAAATTGTCTCTATTTGCAGACGACATGATAGTATACCTAGAAGACCCCATCGCGTCAGCCCCAAAAATCCTGAAACTGATAAGCAACTTCAGCAAAGTCTCAGGATATAAAATCAATGTGCAAAAATCACAAGCATTCGTCTACACTAATAACAGACTTAAAGAAAGCCAAATCAAGAACAAACTGCCATTCACAATTGCTACAAAAAGAATCAAATACCTTGGAATACAACTCACAAGGAGCGTAAGAGACATCTTCAAGGAGACCTACAAGCCACTGCTCAATGAAATCAGAGAGGACACAAACAGATGGAGAAACATTCCATGTTCATGGTTAGGAAGAATTAATATCATGAAAATGGCTATACTGCCCAAAGTAATTTACAGAATCAATGTTATCCCCATCAAGCTACCATTGACTTTCTTCACAGAACTGGAAAAAACCACCATGAACTTCATATGGAACCAAAAGAGAGCCCGCATAGCCAAATCAATTCTAAGCAAAAAGAACACAGCAGGGGGCATCACACTACCTGATTTCAAACTATACTACAAGGCTACAGTAATCAAAACAGCATGGTACTGGTACCAAAACAGAGATATAGACCAATGGAACAAAACAGAGGCACCGGAGGCAACACAACATATCTACAACTATACAATCTTTGATAAACCTGACAAAAACAAGCAATGGGGAAAGGATTCCCTATTTAACAAATGGTGTTGGGAAAACTGGCTAGCTGTGTGCAGAAAGCAGAAACTGGACCCCTTCCTGACACCTTACACTAAAATTAACTCCAGATGGATTAAAGACTTAAACATAAGACCTGGCACGATAAAAACCCTAGAAGGAAATCTAGGCGAAACTATCCAGGACGTAGGAGTAGGCAAGGACTTCATGAACAAAACACCAAAAGCATTGACAACAAAAGCCAAAATAGACAAATGGGACCTAATTAAACTCCACAGCTTCTGCACGACAAAAGAAACAGTCACTAGAGTGAGTCGGCAACCAACAGAATGGGAAAAAATTTTTGCAGTTTACCCATCTGACAAAGGGCTGATATCCAGAATTTACAAAGAACTCAAACAGATTTACAAGAAAAAAACAAACAAGCCCATTCAAAAGTGGGCAAAGGATATGAACCGACACTTTACGAAAGAAGACATATATGAGGCCAACAATCATATGAAAAAATGCTCATCATCACTGGTCATCAGAGAGATGCAAATCAAAACCACATTGAGTTAGAATGGCGATCATTAAAAAATCTGGAGACAACAGATGCTGGAGAGGATGTGGAGAAAAAGGAACACTTTTACACTGTTGGTGGGAGTGTAAATTAGTCCAACCATTGTGGAAGACAGTGTGGCAATTCCTCAAGGCCTTAGAAATAGAAATTCCATTTGACCCAGCAATCCCATTACTGGGTATATACCCAAAGGACTATAAATCATTCTACTATAAGGACACATGCACACGAATGTTTATTGCAGCACTGTTTACAATAGCGAAGACCTGGAATCAACCCAAATGCCCATTGATAATAGACTGGATTGGGAAAATGTGGCACATATACACCATGGAATATTATGCAGCAATCAGAAATGATGAGTTCATGTCGTTTGTAGGGACATGGATGAATCTGGAGAACATCATCCTCAGCAAACTGACACAAGAACAGAAAATGAAACACCGCATATTCTCAATCATAGGCGGGTGATGAAAAATGAGAACACATGGACACAGAAAGGGGAGTACTAAACACTGGGGTATATTGGGGGGAAAAGGGGAGGGCCAGTGGGAGGGGGAGGAGGGAAGGGATAGCCTGGGGAGAAACGCCAAATGTGGGTGAAGGGGTGAAAGCAAACAGAACACACTGCCATGTGTGTACCTATGCAACTGTATTGCATGCTCTGCACATGTACCCCAAAACCTAAAATGCAATAAAAAAATAAGAAAAAAAATCATTTATT